GCGTGGATTCGTTGGACCGCAAGCGAAATGGTTACATGTGCAGCGGTGCGCGCACAAAAGCAAGTCAGCGCCGCCCGATGGGCAGATGGCGCGGTGGGGAGCTGGGGGGACTGGGAAGGGCAACGGCGACGCTGCCGCCCCCAGCTGCGCCGACAAACGGCCGCGCCCCTGCGATGGCTCAGCGCGCAGCAGGCACGTCCCAACGGCCGCTGAGATCAAGGCCCTGGCTGCGCCCCGTCGGGTTATGCGCGGCGGCTCTTGCGCCAGCGCTGGCCAAGTTGCGAAGGTCAGTATCGGTTAACCTAACCCCAACCCCATGAAGCCTCCCACCAGCCCACCCCCTCCCGCCGCCCCCGACTTGGGGATATACCCTCCAAAACCCGAGGGAGACGGCCTATATCCCCATCTCGGGGGGTAAATCCCCAAGTGGAGAAAAGGCCACCTAGATGGGGATAGGGTTCGGATAAACGATGCCCAGGCGCGGGCGCTTCTCACGTTCGCGGCCGCCACGGCGAACGAGCGGCGCGCTCCTGGCGGACGGGCCCGCGCCTAGGCGGGGGCCCTAAGGGGCGATGCGATGCAGCTTTCATTGCAGGGAGCGCACGGGCGCCAACTCCAGCCCGACTGCACCTCCTAGCGCCAAAGAAATCGACGAGAAATGAAAAGCAACTTGCCGCGGCGCGCCACTGCTGCGGCGCGGCACGTCCGCGCGCGGCGGCAATGCATACTGCGCAGTGCGAGAGCGCGCGCCCGACGTCCGAGTCCGACCGCAGGCCCGCGGCAGGTCGGCTGTCAGAGAGCCATCGGGTCTCCCGCCCGCGGCGCGATGACGCCATCTCCCGCTCACCGCCGCACGCCCCTACCCCGCCCGCCACCGCCGCCACGCAACGCGTCTAACCGCACGCGCACAGCTACACCCATGCCGTGCAGACTCGACAATGACAGCGCCCTGCGTATATGCTGCCGACGACGGCACAGCAAGCGCCGCGGTTGGCGGCTCCCCGACGAGCGTTGAAAGGTCAAACGCTTTTGACCTGATGACCTGCAGCAGCAGCGCACCTCTCTCGTGCCAGCATACTCGACCCGAAACCTGCGCGTGTACTACCCGCATGAATGCGCCCCGCCGAGCCCGCCATGGCTGTCTCCCTCTCGCGTGGTGGTGGTGTTTTTTTTTGAGGGGGGGGGCGCTGCATACCCGTTGGATTTGCACACACCACCCTCGGGCATAATGGCAACCATCGCGGAGGTCCATGCGGGCGCGCCGACAAAGTATTGTTGAACGCGCCGCGAGCGGGCATGGCGGCGACTTGTGGACACACTCTACGCAGCCCGCTCCCCCCCCCCATCCGCGCCCCCCTGCAAACGCGGCGCCGCGGCGCTCGATACCATATAACGCCAGCTGCGGTCATTTGGCCAGCGGCGGCGGCCTGACCCAAGGCAACCGCCGCGGCCAATGTCGCCTCGCGCATACAAAACTAATGGGCGTTCGAAGCGGACCCGCCCACACAGCTTCGCGCCGCGGAAACCCCGCGACCGTGAGAAACGGTGTCGTGCGGCGCGGCGTTCACGATGCGGCCCATGAAACCGCGATAAAGTAGCATGGAATATCTCAAACCAGGGCGGCTGCGGCACTCTTTCTTCGCCTGCCTCGGTCCGATGGCGCCCCCTCGTTAATGTCTGCATCCGCAAGTATCAAACCGACAACCATCAAAATCATACTTTCAATTTGCATTGCAATTCCGCCTCAAACAAACGCGCTGTTGGCAGCGCGCCGCCAAGCCCGAGCGCAGGCGCATTGGCTGCGCGGCTGCGCGTCATACGACGAAAGACAACGTGCACTATACCTTACCGCTGCGATCCGGGCAGCAAAGCGCCGCACTTGCACCGCAATGCCACCAGAGCTTTCTACGACGCGGCGCAAGTGGTGCAAGTTTTGCGGGGCCAAATACGCGCGTTGGCGTGCATCGCGCCCATCAGTCCTTCGCGTTGCGCGCGTTGTTGCAGAGCCCGCAAGGCCGAGTCCGAACCACATCATGCAACCTCGCTCATTACTCCCGCCGCCATCATGCAGCGCGCGCGTCGCTGATTTTATGGCACACCAAGCACTCCCCGACGCGCGCGTTTTCCACGCACGAGCGCCGCGGTATAGAAGGCGCTCAATCCGCGAGCGATTGGTCGCGGCGAGCAAAGCCCCGTTGCACCCGCTCGCCCGCCCGCGCCGCGCCGCCCGCGCCACGCCGCCCGCGCGCGCGGCAATTCCATGTCCCGCCGCGCGGGGGTGGCCGATTCAACTGCCTCGTCCATCGGGGCCCGCTCGCTGTACCCCGCTCGCGAGGACCCGAGGAACCAGTGTCATCTTAGCCAAGCGCGGCGTCTGTCCACGGGGAGCAATCCCGCGCCCCCCCATCATCCACCCCCAACCCCATCCCCCCCCCAGACACCCACGCAAAAAGAAAACTCGGCTGGGCTCGTTCCCGCGGGAGCCAGCCCGAATACACGAGACCGCGCGCACCGCGGCCGAAGCGCGGGCACTGTCCATTGAGATTGGCCAGCCAACGCGGCCCCGCCCAACAGCGAGGCGCCGCGCGCGCACCCAATCCATCGGGCTCCGCGCGCACGCGGTAGGCCTGCCAGCGGCCCCCCCGTTCGCGGGGCCCCGACGCCCATGCCGCCCATCATCACGAGGCCCCGCAAGCGCGGGGGCCCACCCAGACGGCATAGCCTGCTCGCGCGGGCCCGCCCGAAAACCACCGAACAACACGCAAGTCTCACAAGAGCACCCAGCATAGGGCCCCGCCCGCAGGAGCCCAGGCGCCGACCACCGTGCATTGCATCAGTAGGACACACAACTGCGACAAACAGAAGCGGAGGAGCACCCGCACGCGGCTCGCTGCCCCCTGCTCGATAAACAACATTACTTCTACCGACGCATGGCATTGCCCTGCGCTGCACGCCTTTCGGGGCGTCGCGGCGTCAGCTTGGCGCGTCAGCGCGCGCAACCACCTGCCTGACAGCGATGTCGCGCAGCTCGGTTTGAATTGGCCGAACATGTTGTATGTTGCACATTGCTCACCGCTTTCGCGCTGCACTCTGGAACTGCGCGCGCGGCCATCAATGGCGGCCAGCGCGCCGTGCGCAACCGCAGTTTGCGCCGAGCGCGGGCTGTCGCGGGCGGGCCGCCAGGCGGCGCGCGGCGCCCGAAGTGCAGTGCCGCGGGCCGACCACGGCGCCATCCTGCCTCACGCAGCGGCGCCGCGGGGGCTCCAGCAAACACTGATCCGCCCAAGGGGCGCGCCTGGCAAGCCAGAGCGCGACCCGCATTGCGCATAACTTATGCACTATCAGCGACCTGGTCTACAGAAAGACCCGCGCATCCTCATCAGCCGCGGCCCAGCGGCACACAGCGGTCGGCATGGCGCGCGCGGCGCGCCCGAAGCACGTCGCTAAATGCGATGTCGCGCGCGCGCGCGTGCAGCGCAATGCCGATGCATGGCAAATGGCAATTGGAGCGGCGCGCGCCCGCGTCGGGCGCCCTGCAGCCCAGGCGGCTTCGAGGTCGCGCTGAATCAGCGCTTCAATGGCGCAGAGAACTGCGCTAACATGAACCGATGCGTTGAGCCATGTGGCGACGCCTAGTGCACTGGACGTGATGGCGCGCGTGCTGTACGCATGTATATGAATGTGCCGTGTCGGCGGTGCAGGTAACCGTGATACTTATATGGCATGAGTATCTGGCATGACGATGGCGTTGGTGGTGTAGGTGATGATGATGATGATGGTGCAGTGCGTTGTGATGTTGTGCACAGCGAAGAGGCGCATAGCCTCGTTTATCAGCGCGGCGGTCGTCGCCTTGGAGCGGCAACCCGCCCCTGAAGTGAAAAACAGCATGGCACCTGCGTGCCGAACTTCAAAGTTCAAGGGCAAGTGGGCGGCTCGGGCGGCTCACCGTGCCGACGGCGACGCTCCCAGTGGAGGAGCGCCGCTGCTGCTGGGCCCAGGCCCTCCACATATGCCCGCGCAGCCTCGCGATCCGCTCTCGAATACCAGGCCACGCCTTTGTGCGCATCGGCATTCAGGTGTAGCCGATGGTCCTTCAACCAGGCCGCCAGGAAGCCGATAGGCCGGCCCTGCTGAACGCGGCGCCCTGCCTTGCAAGTCCTCCGCTTCCTGCAATCCTTGTGCAGCGGATCCGAGCACGTTGCGACCATCTCATCCTTCGTCCGGTTGCATGAGATCTTGCCGCCGTCCACGTCGAGAACTGCTTCGGCAGGTATCCTTGGCCCACCCGCGCCGCCACCTCCTGGCGGCGGAGGCGGAGGCGGCGGCACCGCGGAGCCAGAAGCCGCAGATCCTCCTGGCGGGTCATCCTCGCCAGCGCTATCCTCGCCCGAGTCCTCTGCCGCAGAGTCGCTGCTGTCTATGAGGCCCCCGAGGCGCGCGCTGTCACCAGAGCCGCTCGACGTAGACGACCTGGGCGTCGAAGGCTCGCCCACTGGCTCCTCCTCGGGGTCCACGGGCGGTTCGACGATGGGCTCTCCGTGCGCGTCCTTCAAGTCACCTGCGAAGCAAGAGTTCCATAGAAGCCGAAGCAAACGCTCGGCTCCACATACCCCCTTAGACAAACGAACCGCGGCTAGCCCTAGCCGCCTGATGAGGCCAGGGCGAAATCAAAACAACTTGGACACAATCAAAGACAATTGGCGCAAACAGTGGCCAGGCCCCGAGCGGGGCCCATAAAACGAACCTGATTTCCAAAACGGGGGGGCCGAAGTACATGGAGCCGCGCGATTCGTCGCGCCCATTTGGAACCCATGCTGGCCATCATCGCACACATCGCTGGACACATCACCACCGTGCTCTCCGCCTCCGCCAGGGCAGACAACCACGTCACTGGCGCCGTCGCCTCCAGGCCCTGGACCACTACCACCGCCCTCGCCACCGTCGGAGTCGTCGCTCTCGCCCTCGCCCTTGCCGCCCTCGGCGTCCATGATCTGCGCGACGGAGCCCCACCCCGACTTGAAGTCCACGTCTTTCTTGCCTGATCTGACGGGCGTCTTCCTCCACTTCGCCCACTTGGGCTTCCAAATGACTCTGCATGTCGGCACGTTCGGCTTCTCGACCTCCTCCTGCAACCTGACCTCGACGACATTCGGTACGATGGTCCCCAGCGGCGTGATCTTCTCCCTGATGTTGTACACACATACAGACCACCGAAGGTTCCTGTCGAACTCCTTGAACTCCTGCCATGGCGTGGTAAAGTCAAGCGTGCCCACCAGCCGCGCCCACGGCGCCACGAGCCCTTCCTCCTATTGATCAACAGCAAGGCGGTGGAAGCACGACCGCCAAGGCGAGAGGCTCTGGCTCCCGACGTGCAGCCACTTGCTCTCGACGACGGGCAGCCCCTCGACGAGGCCGCTCGTGCGGATGTCCACCTCGTCCCCCTCGTCCTCGGTGGGCTGGCGCTGACCGAAGGCGCAGCCCACGATGAAACCAGGCACCAGAACATCTTTCCTGACTTTCCCGACTGGCACAGCCTTCTTCAGCGCGCTGTCGAAGTTCTTCACGATCTTGCCAACATCGATGCCATGGCCGCTGCATACGCACATGCCTGCTTCCATGCAGCTCGGGATACCCGCATCGTCATTCACGTCCCAGTCGGGCTTCGGCACGTGGTCGATGGTGTCGTGGATCTTATCCCAGACTGTAATGAGGGCGGCGAAGACGTCTGCAATGACGTGCCGATGTATTGATAGCCCGCGCTTCACTCGATCCAAGACGTCCATCGGCTCCCATTCGAAGACTTTGAGCTCCGTGCTTGGGAATGGGACGGGCATGGACTCCTCGAGCCTGTGGAATGCTTCGTCGGACAAACACGCCGCCCTCGAGTCCACGCCCGCTCCTTCGCACCATGATTGCATCGCCTTGCTGCTGTGGAGCTTCTCCTCCGCGCGGCACTGCTGCTCCAAACGGGTAGCCTTGCGGACCTCGGCAATGTCGGCGAGGGCCGTGGAGCTCGTCGTCTTCATATAGATGGCGCCGTCGTCAGCGGCGATGGCGGGCTCCCCGCTGGCCGAGCACGCGGCGATGCCCTCCGTGATGACCCTCTCCTTCGTCCGGTCCTTGACCATTGTATCAGCGATGGACTTCATATATGATCGCTGCAGCTGGCGCGTCTTGTCTCCGAACGGGCGCTTGTTGCCAGCCCTCGCAGCTCGCGTGGCAGTCTTCCCAACTTCCTTGAGCTTCACCTTCTCATCTGGCGTGAGCTCGCGGTACCCCTGCGAGAGCAACTTGAAAGCAGGGCTGCCCTTCTGGCCCAGCGTCCGCTGCCGAACGAACGCCCTCCATGCACCTCCATGTCCAAACTGGCGCTTCGAAGGTGCGGGCTTCTCTTTGACGCCCTTCCGCTTGGCGCCCTTGATCACCTTGCCAGCCCACCCCTCGCGCAAACGACGCCGCCGAGTGCGGAATCGCTGCAAGCTTCTCAGGGCAGAAAGGCGCTTGATGTGCAGCGAGTGGGTCTGTACGCTCAGCGCGCAGAGGCTCCTCCTGATGGCCGCGTGGCTGGCCTCAATGCTGACAGTCTCGCGCTTGAGGAGGAATGCGGCGTGCGTGAGCTCCGCCTTCAGGTCTGGGTCTAGCAAGCCGTCCTTGGACTCGGCGTACTTCGCGATGAGAGCCTTGCTCCAGCGGTCCTTCATGTCATCGCACTCGCCCAGGATGTCGCCGCAGTTCCCGTCCAACAGGGTAAACATTTTGAAAGGATACCCGCCGTGCAGCGTCTTGAGCTCGTGGCAGAGGCAGCCGATCTGGCTCAACATCACGAACGCCTCAGTGCGAAGGCTGTGCAAACGATAGCTCGGCGGGGTGACGGCCCAGAACGACTCGGTGGTCATGATGTCCTTGAGCGCATTGAAAAACTCGTCCTCGAGCACGAACTTGGACGCAGCGATAACGGTGAATACGTCGCACTCTACGTCGACATCAATGCCTGAGAGCTTCTGGAGCTTGCGGAACTCAACCAACTTGTCATTGTTTAGGCCGGCTTTCCCGATGTACTTGCCCATGATGCTCACGAGGGGCCCCAGCACTTGCCTGATAAGCACTAGCCGCGACTGCGGGCCTGAGTTGAACAGCCACTTCGCACCCAAGAAACGATGCTTCGAGTCCTCCTTCCTGCGGTCGTCCTCTGCGGCATTCTGCGCTCCACCGTCGCCGCGATCGCCGCCACCATCGCCTCCTGCATCGCCGCCTGATGGGTCGCCGAGGACTGCGCCGTCACCCGCGCCATGGCCGTAGTCGCCGTCGCCCAGGGGCAGCATGCCTGCTGCGACGTCGTCGGAATTCAGCTTGTCAACCTCGGGGGGGCAAGCGGGGCGTGGCGAGCGGGTATCGACAAGTCCCCCCAGCTCGAAATGCACGAGACCACAAGGTCCCTTGTCACCCAATCCCCCTCCGAAGGAGGGTGGCAAGGTGAAGGTGAGGAGGGAGGCGGGGAGCTCGAATGTGACACTGGATGTCACGTGCGGTCCCGCCCTACTCATCGGCCACTCCTCCACCCGCCACCCTCGCCCTCGACTCCGCTGCCACCCCCTCCTTGCCCTCGTCGCCCGAGTCACCCGATCCCCGACCCCTCCTATCCTTCCCGCCTCATCCAAGAAGCCCTTAAAGTTTGGACGGATACCGCATGACATCAGCATGCAAACGGGGGGTGGTAATTACATGTCCCTGGCTCCAATCCTTGACGCCAGACCACTTGAGGAATGCGCGCGTGAGCAAGCCGTGGCACGACTCCAGGACGCCCATCCAGTCGACGCTGTGGTCGAAGCCCGTCCACCTGGAGTCGGGCCACACCTTCGGGTCGGTCGCCGCCACGGCCGCGACGAAGAGAGTCGTGAACTTCGACAAGCAATCATTGCGAGACAGACAGCACCCGTTGCAACAATGCTCCACCACGTGCCTGAACCAGAACCCCAATGGCACACCCACGCACGAGCATCGGCCACCGCAGCCCCCTCCAACGTGCCTCGAGACCCCCGTGGCCGAAAAACTTATGCCCAACCAGGACTGTGGCCCGAGCCCCAAGGCGAACTCAAACGACAAAAAATGAAAAACGACGAAAGCTATTACACATTGTTTGGCACTGGCGGGAAGGGGACAGGTGGCTGCTCGAGCGCGGGGCGCGACGGGCTTCTGGATCCGAGGCCTGTTCGACCAGCGCCCATTCGCCAAGGAGAGGATCACGCTTCGCTTCATGCGCCTGTGCGGGGAGGTGTCCTCGAGGAACAGGTCTAAGCACATCTTGTTGTAGTTGGTGTCGACGGCGGACGGGGCTCGCTGCCTGTGGTACCTGAGCGTGTCCGAGATGACTTGCCTGAGCGTGGTCCTGAATGATCTCATGGCGTCGCCACTGCGCAGCGCCTTCGCAACGTGAACCATCGAGCTGGTGTCATGCTTCGTGTGGAGGAACGCTGCTTTGAACCATGTGTACGCCATGTGGACCTCGCACTTCAGCTTCAACGTGTCGCAACTGTCACCCGCTTCACGATCTAGGTTCCGCTCCATCCTGGTGATGCCGCCTGCGCCGTCGGTGTGACCAGCCGCTGACATCGATCAAATCTCTGCGGCACGCCGTCCATCGGCGGCTGGCTCGCCATGAGCGCGTCGTGCAGCACCTCGCCAGTCGTCCTGCTCAGCGACTGGGCGGGCGTCTCGAACGGCACGCGAACGGCGAAGTAGCCCTCGGCAGGCAGGTGGAATAACATGGAGTACATGCGCTCGGTGTTGAGGATCTTGGCCACGTGGGTGCTCTTGCAACTCGCGCTGATCGGCACCATCTGCACAGCTCCGTCTTCGTCTTGTCCAGGTCCTTGCAACTGGGGCTGCTGCTTCTCTAAGTCGCGTTTCTCGGTGTCGGTCAGCCGCATGGTCATGGGGGTCTCGTCGTGCCTCGCTGCCTCCGTCCAGCTGATGGCTCGGCCCCCGCGCCTGATAATGCTGTCCACCAGCTGCCGAGCCATCGATTTGCAGTCCCGCTGCTGCATCACGTTGCACGCGCTGGCCGTAGCTATCAAGAATGCCTCTGTCGTCCTCCGCTGCACTTTGAACTTATCGCACTCCTCACTGAACGGCAGGGTCTTGGCCTTCTCGTCGAGCCAGTAGTTCGCCACCTGGTGCTGCCTCACGTTGAAGAATGCTGGGTCGCGCCCGTTCGCCGCTGAGATCGCGCTCACCTGCTCGACGAGCTGCGCGACGTCCCAGTCGAGCGAGCCTGCTGCCGCTGGTAGCGGCGGCCGCTCCTCCGACTCGCCCGCGAGCGCGAGCTCCCAAAGTTCGGGGGGTCCTGGCACGTCGGGGGCATCTGGCTCGGCGGGCTCGTCGCCGTCAAAGTCGCCGAACAGTTCCAGCGCGTCGTCGTCGGCCGCGCCCGCGGCAGCTGCAGCAAGCGCAGCCGCCACTATCGCCCCAGAAACTCGAGGCTCAGCCACCGCACTCCGACTCGGCACCGACATCGAGATCCGTTGGTGTCGCACTCGCTTCCGCAGGGGCCCAATCGCACACCACACAGCCTGGGGAGTTGCAGAAATACCTCCTCCCCCACTCCGCATCCTCATCATCCCTCCTCATCCTCCATTTTTGTTCAACATCCTCCCCCTCTCCCCGATTATATCCACCATACCTCCTACCATCGCTCGGCCCTGGCCCCCATCGTCCCCCCGCCGCCTTCCCTCCTCCGCCCCCCGTCCCGACGCCGACGTCCACCCCCTCGCCCAATTTCCCAGGCCCCGAGCCTTGCGCCTTGCCACGGCGCACGCGGGCAAGGCCTCAAGGTCGTGGCCGTGCTCGTGCGGGTCGCTCGGCGACGGCGCGGCCACGGGCGCGCCGTCGCCGAGCTGCAGCAAGTCCGCCTGGGCTGACGGGGGGGGGGGCGACCGACGGGGGCGAGGGAGGGAGGGACGTCGAGTGAGGGGCGACGGCCTCGTCGAGCTGCGAGCGCTCACACTCGGCCGCCACCGCGGCCCAACCATCCGCCGCGCAGCCGTCCTCGGCGTGGCCCGCGGCCGCTATGGCGGCCCAGCCGCTGCCGCCCGCCGCCCCGACGGCGGCGGCAGGGTCAGCCGCCGCGACGGCGGCCCACCCTCCCCCGCCACCGCTCATGACGGCGGCAGGGTCAGCCAAAATGGCTGCACCCACGGCGCGGCGCGGCACAGCGGCGTGGCGCGGGCACGGCACGGCACGGCACGGCGGCACGGGCACGGTACGGGACGGCATGGCGACACGGGCACGGCACGGCACGGCGGCGCGGGCACGGCACGGCACGGCGCGGCGGCACGGGCACGGCGGCGCGCGCACGACACGGCGCGACAGAACGGGCACGGCCGTGCGGGCATGGCACGGCACGGAACGGCGGAACGGGCACGGCACGGCGGAACATGCAAGGAGGAGGTATGGATAATGGCGAGGAAGGAAGCGCTTAGGGAGGGTAAAGTTTAGGGAGGAGGTAAGCCTTAAGGAAGAAGGTAGGCATTTAAAGAGAGGGGAAGGATAATGGCGAGAAAGGAAGGCGCACCCCTTTGTTTGTGGATGTCGAACGGGACGGGGCGGCTTGTTGTGAAACATACCTTATCTTGGATCACGACTTGATGCGACTACTTGTGGTGTGGCTACTTGGCCTCGGGACTACTTTTGTTGCTACTTCGAACACTACTTTGGAACCTACTTGGTATG